TCCTGCTGACCATGGTCTGAAAAATTGGGAAGCAGCACTCTGGTAGAGGAAGTGGCTGAAGCTTCCAGAAGCACTGAGTAGAGAAATGAGGGGCCACAGAATATTTAAACAGTGGAACGTCACAAAAACTATCAAAAGGACTGGAAATTGGTGGTGTGGAATTTGAGCAAAGAGGGCTCCTACACAGGCTACTGAAGGAATAGTAGTTAAATCTCTGGAGCTTGCCATAAAGGCAAGTGCACAAAGGAAGGCAGCAGACTGGCATGCTGAAGCTCTGAGTGTGTGTAATTGGCGTTGTCTCAGCTCTCCTGCTTGGCTGTGGTCAAGAGAGAGTAGGCTCAAAAGTTAGGGAAGTAGTGATGGTATGCATTCTTTATTAAAGAGAAGCTGTTTGTTCTAGTAACTACGACAGTATTAGTAAAATAAATAAACAGAAAACAAGTAATATAGGTTTTTTCAGACTTTGTTTTACTGTAAATCTTTGTTTGTGCCCTGTCAGGTTTTAGTTTGTTACATTAAAATAGCTTAATTAGGTATCTAAGTGCTGTAGAAAGCCTAATTTATCTTGTACAGGATCTCATTCTCCAACCCACCTACGTCCTTTTGTTTTGAGAATAACATAAAAATCGTGGTATAAACTGTTAATGAATGTTTTCCTTCAGAAGGCTGTCCAACAGGTCCTTATTCCGCTGTTATAGGAACATTTGACTGTGACAGTCACGTGTAAGGGAGAGGCCCGGTAGGAGATGGTGCTGAATAATCATGAGTCAGCTTTTTTGTAGTTGAGTAATTTCCTACCAGTGCTGTGAGTCAGGTGGTGGCTCCTGTTTCGTCAGTTCAGTGGTACTCTGCATAGCGCTTAACTGACTTTTGGGAGTTTCTTTTTGAGATGAGCTCTTTTAATGAGATTTCCCAAAACACATAAACTTTCTTTGCTGGGAGAAAATGAACTTTAGCATGAGATGTTCTGCAGTAGGCAGTCCTGTTTTGCACCAATACTTTTCGAGCTGTGTTTACCAAATTAGTTTTAGAAAAACAATCGGGTACAGATTCTTTAATTCTTCAAGTTAGGTGTCCTACTTAAATACTAAGGATTTTTTAAACCTAACTTTTAAAATTCGTTTTAAACTTCAAACGAGGTGACCAGTTTGGGGACAGCTGGGAGGCTTGTTTGGGGGGAGTTTTTGTTTTAACTAACGCCATTGACCGTTGTGAAATTCAGTTGGTTACCTTTCAGTAACCCTTTGTCCTTCCCCCAGAATTAACTTAATGATGTTCACTGTACGACCCTGACTTCTGTACTGTCCTGTATGTACGTATATTGGAATATATCATTATTTGAATGTGAAAGAGCTAGACTGTATGTTGAATTCAGAATTTTAAGGAGTGCTGTTTCGTGAGGTTTGCATTTTATGCTAACGAACTTCAGCACACTTTTAAACTGGGCATGACAGCTTTGTTCTTTTTACCAGTAATACTGAGCTGAATAAAGTACCAAAAGCTGAAAATATGGTGGGTATGACATTTTTCTCGCAAAAGTATGTAAACCTCTTATCTTACTTCTTGCATTTCAGATCAATTCAAATGCCTCCTTAACTGTGTCTTTGGCACAGACTCCTTACTGCAAGAAGCACAGATATGATCCCCAGAATCCCCTCTGTGCCCACATAATCTTCTGTGGGAGCATTGTAAAGGTAAGCAGCTGAAAGTTGACAATGGACAAGATTGCGTGCATCAAATAGTATTGTTTAGTGGATGGAGAAGAGAAAGATTAGAATTTCTGTGTGAAGAGATGTTATGTGCTGTGATACCAGTAGGCTAGCTCATAGTTTGTGTGAGGAAAATGAAGTTACCACTTGATATTTGCAGGAGCTGTGATGGCATGTCTTTAGCAAGGAATTTGGGAGGACAATACTGTAATGAAGGAAATCTCCCTCATTCCTCTAGACCTGTTTTGAAACTAAGACGGCTAAGACAATTGTCTTGTGAATGAAGTGTGAAGGTTTTTCCATCTCTTTTGCTCAGTTAAATTCTTTGGTCCATGCAGTGCGACATATGCGCTTCTGAAATTTTATTGAAGTAAATATTAACCTGAACTATAAAGTTACAGATGTTAGAGACAGAAAAAGTGCATTGTATTATCTGGTGGCGTTGTTGCCAGGGCAGTATTCTTTTGTGCACCAGTGCTCTGGTGTCCCATAGAAGGAATTTAGAACTGCACGTGTTAATGATTGAAGATCTTAATCCCATTATTGAGGATAATGATTGAGGATGAGGACTAATCATCATTACTGTCTTTTATATGATAGTCTAAATTCTTACTTGGTGTTTTCACTCCTCAGGTATTTGTACAGTACACTCCAGCAATCCTTTAATTGCTGTCATGGGTTTCTCATCAATAATGGGATTGTTTATTTTAATTAGTTCCTCTTGTACCATACCCAGAGCTCTAACTTGTTGGTTTAACCTTTTAAACGCTTGCACATTGTATATTAAGTGTTGTCATACATTTCAGCTTCCTTTCTCTTGTAGATTCTGTTATATCATCCTATTTGTGTATGTGTATTTTTGCATGCATCTGAACACAGTTGGATCTGTTTGTGTCTGTTGGAGTGAGCAGGTGCAGGGGAGGTAAAATTACGCCTATAACATTGCATTGTAATAATTCAGCAAGAATCCATATTTCTCTGTTTTGTGATTTGTTGAAAGATTTATTCTTATGTTGATGAAGTACTTTCTTGCTCATGCTTACTAAAAGCACCCTTTTGATTTAATATTAAAAGCAACTACCTTGGGGTTTTTTTCTGTCTCATATGCAGTTGTACACCACACTGAAGATGAGTGGACTCTGCCACAGTAATGGGTCCTTTGGGACAAGACGTGGCTAAACTGAAAAGAGCATACTGCAGTCAGTGGTTTTTTTAGCTAAAATTTGTCTTCACATGATCTTACTGTAATATTTTGCTGGTTATTGTTTAGGTGAATGATTCAGAAGCGGGCTTAGCAAAAAAAGCATTATTCAGTCGCCACCCTGAAATGGAAAGTTGGCCTAAGGATCATAATTGGTTCTTTGCCAAATTCAACATCACCAATATTTGGGTCCTGGACTACTTTGGTGGATTGAAAATTGTGACACCAGAAGAATATTATAGCGTCAAGCCTTAGTAAGTACTGAAGTTTTGCATGCTTAACTCATTACATTTGGAACCTGTAAAACTTCTCCTTATTAGTAACAGTGTATATTAACTGTCTCTGTTTTTTATTCACATTTATGTCTTTTCCCTAAATAGTCTACTGGATGCAATGTCTGAAATCATAAGATATGTTTGAATAGGGGAGCCACCTACTTAACAATATCAAGTATAGTGTCTAGAACTATCGGTGGTTAACTGCACTTGTACCTCAGCTTAAATACAGTTTCTTGGGAGGAAGGACTCCTGTAGAGTGTGCACAGTCACTGTCCTCTGTTTGAATTAATTGCAGGACAGATGATGTTTTGGTCTAATAGTTAAAAGTAGTGAGACTGTTCAGCATTTATGAAGCTGTATTAACGGGATTGCAGCAATATTGCTTAATGTTTTCAAAACAAAATTGCTTTTGAATCTATCATTACGATATTGAAGGATAGAGAAATTGTATTCTATTGTCTACATAAAACTAAGTCTCCAAAACTTTCAAATACATTTTTAGTGCAGTCAACACTTATGGGTTCAATTTCACTCTTGTTCTTACTCCTTGTAGGTGGAAGATGATCCTTGGTGATGCTGATATACAAATGAATTACTTTGGCTGTTTCATGAAAGATTTATTTTTTTTCTATGTATTGTAGAGCTGAATTAATAATGCAAAAAATCAAACACCTTGCATTGTTAATGAGCTTGTATAACCCTTCTGAAGCAAATGTAAATTCTCACTAACAAGCACAGTTTGAATCATGTCATACTCAAAAACCTTTGTGCATAAGCCATAACTAAATTTTATTCATTGGACATGATTCTGGAAAGATGTCTGTCTGTTGACAGTCTGCATTCAGAAAGGCTATGTTCACTGGAAACTAAAGGATTAGTCCAGTTCTAAATCTTCAATGCCTTAGTTAAATAATATCTGTTTGTGAGCACTCTCCAATTTTATCTTATTTTTAATACCAGTTTAGTTTAGACCTTTATGGCAAAGTACTACAGAATAGCTCAGCTGACTGTGGAATGGAAAGCATTGCTTGTATTACAATGGCAAATGATACGCTGAGTTCCCAAATTCTGTTAAGAATTTTCTTTGCACGCTAATACACTCACTCGTTTGAGCCATTTTTCTATTTTGCTACCTGTATTGATTGTGTTTATGCAAACTGTACGTATACCTCATGATAAGTTCTTGGTAACTCTTAAGTGGTTATGTGCCCTGACTCTTTAAAAGGAGGAGGGTGGTAATACCTAAAGTATCTGACTTTAGTATGAGAAGAATTGTGGCTTGTAAATTCAATGAGAATGTTGTAAAGGGTAAATGTTTTCTGATTAGGATTCTGAAATCTTCAGCTTTGTTAGTTTGATCAAATGGCAGTGTAACTGCTTTTTTTTACCCTCAACAATAGAACTGAGCAGATTTTTGGTTTTGGAAGCCTTACACAGCGATTTTGGGTTAGTAACCCAGAAGTGAGAAAGAAGCAATACAGTATGATACAGATGATTCATGACTTGTAGAGAATGAAGATTAATGAAAGGTGTGCATAATTAATTCTCTGTTAAAATAAGCCACACAACCACAAAAAATAAATTAACACCTTGAATAAATTAACACCTCGTTACATCCTCTCTCATCTCCCATGTGCTAAGTTCATTAATATCCAAAAGGGATTATGAACAATTAAGCTGATTTTACGATGAGCAAATATTACCTAGTTGACAGAGTAAAGAATGTGAGAATTTAGACTCTTTAGAGGCAGATCCATATATAGAACAGTGGAATTCATCATGTCAAATCATTTCTATATCTTAACATCGTTATATTACTGCTTTTCTCAAATACTGGAATGATTTGTGAAAGTATTTTTGATGTAACTTACTAAGTTTTCCTTCTCTGCAAGGGGAAAAAGGATACTTGTTGCTGTATCAAACCCATTCTGTTCTACTATTTGAAAATTAATTTAGGATCAAAAAAACTTACAGTATAGAAACAATTTAAGTTGAACAGATAACACTGACATTAAACACGAAATTGGAAAATATTTTTATATAAGGCATAACAATTATGGAAACTCAAACGATCCTCTGGTATGGACTTGATCCTTTCCATGGGGACATCTGAATGCATTACATGTCACTTCATAACTTCTGATGTGTGAGACTGATGCTGCTGGGCTTTTGTTAAAATTAAAATATTTTTTTGACATGTGGTGTCGAGTATTATTTATTGCATGTTCAAGAATACTTCTCTCCCTCATGCTGTCTTTCACACAAGCACCCTCTCTTCCTAGTTCTTGTTTCATTGTCACTCTGGAGTCTTTCATGCTTGCTAGAATAAATGGTGAAACACCCCTATTACATCTGGCTTTCCTTCCTGGGATGAAAAAAGTATCTTCGCGTTTCACTTTCTTTTCTGCATCTAATACTATGAAATAGAACATTAAATAATAACAGTGGGGTTTATGAAAATGAATATAAGGAAGCCTTATTTGATTATTTCTTCCGGCTAGGGCTTCTATATTTCTAAATGACTGTATCATCGTCAGGCAGGTGTTCAGCCATCTCCAGGAAAGCAGGGCTCCATCATGCGTAATGGTTACTTGGGAAGGCAAAACGCCATCACTCTGAACATCCCCCCCCTTCCTTCTTCTTCCCCCAGCTTTATATGCTGAGCATGACGTCATATGGTGTGGGTTATCCCTCTGGTCAGCTGGGGTCAGCTGTCCCGGCTGCGTCCCCTCCCAGCTTCTTGTGCACCCCCAGCCTCCTCACTGGTGGGGCAGGGTGAGAAGCAGAAAGGGTCTTAACATTGTGTAAACAATAACTAAAACATTGGTGTGTTATCGACACTGTTTTCATCACAAATTCAAGACATAGCCCTAAACAAGCTGCTATGAAAAAAATTAACTCTATTCCAGCCAAAACCAGTACACCACCTTTAAAAGAATCACTTCCATTTGAGGGTTTGGTACAGAATAAAGTTTGTTTTGTTTCTGGTTGTCTTGTCACATGTGATGTTCCCATTAGTACCAATTCCCAAATCTTTTCTGATTGGGAGAGGGAGGGCTTTTTTGGTAACAATTCATCTTAAGCAGCTTTGTAATACTACTGCATTTTATTGGAACAATTTTAGATCATCCAAATCTCTTTACATCTCAAATTTGAGAGGACCCCAGCCAGGTGTTTCTTTTGGAAAGTGGTGAACAATAGAATGGTTAAGCTACGTGTACAGAGATGGATTTGAGGGTTAATCAGAGAAGAACTATCTGGAGTTGTTATATCTGTGCATCTCATTGAACACTTGGATAAAGAGATTTTTGTATATAGAAGTGGAATGTAAAACAGACTAGGGTATCAATCATGCTAAACATCTCTCTCTTTTTCTCCCTTAGTAATAGGTGTGTAAATGTTAATATCACTAGCTCAGGAAAGTCGTCAGCTTTTGTCCTATCTTTCCTCACCTTTTCTTCTCCCTGTGCTTACCTTTGTTGTATTAGGCTCATTCAGGAATTCGCTTGTGAGCATGTTTCCTTTTTTCCTAATATCCAGAAGTAATCTTGTGGCTTAGACTAGAAGAGGCCTAGTATAAGAAATTAATACAGCTGTAAAAAATGAATCAGCGTTTTGACTTCTGACTACGTGTATCCTCTACCATGGCACGCTTGACGTATCTGAGCATATTCTAAATAGTAATAAAGTCACTCTCCATACCCAGGAAGTTAGGTATCTCCATTCATAGATAAGAATCTGAGACACAGGATAACCTTAGGCACCTCACTAAGTCACAGGATGTTTGTTAGCTGAGAATCTAATTAGGATAATCTTAGCCTGGCTCTCTAATGATATAGTCATGTTTTTCCTTTGTCTACTAATCTTGCTCCTTGACGTGTTTGTGTTTCTACTTCTTGATTTTTAATTTATTTCTTGTGTTTTAATATAAGACTTACGTCCAGGAGATTCTTGCGACATGCTACATCGTTACAGAATAGAGCTTATGTATATCTGGTATTAGTTTAATCCTTTATTCAGTTCTCTCTGGAATTAGTTTCTTAGCTATTTAACGTTGTATCTGTGATCTTCACAATAAAATAGAGGTAGCTTAATACAGAAAGTATTAATCATAACAACGGATGAATTTGTTTTCAACAGGTTTTTCCTGAATAACAACACACTGAATCTAGAAAGATTCAATATCAAATAAACTGTTATATTATTGTTGAACACAAGAGGGTGCCATAGACTTACATTCGGGTTGATTGTTAAATGTTTAATACTTAAAATTGGTTACTGAATTCATCATAACTCAAAGATGCTGGAAAAGCATTCGACAGGGGGCATGATATGAACAAATTCTTTTTCTGCAGTGCTTTACATTATGAATGCTTTCCTCCATAAACACAGCAGCCTGTTAGCTGCTAAAAAAGAAACATTCATCATTTTCTTGTTTTATAATCATTTTGTGCTATGGAGTGCTCAGAAGTAATATCCGTGAAAATGATTTAAAGGTTTTTAAATTAAGAAACTCTAGCAAAGGAAATGGAGACAGGTATAGAATGCCTCAGAACATCGACTGGGAGCAGCCACCTCCAGACTCGATAGCGTTTCTTTCTCTCAGACCTTACTAACTGTTAGAATCCAAAGTGAGGGTGTTCATTAGCGTGACGATGCTTTGGCTTAGGCTTATGGTTAGCTGAACTAAACTACCTGGTTCTGATTTGTAATTTCCAACAGCTAATGAATCTTGTTGGACTTGGATTGTTTGGTCCCTCCCAGCCCTTCTCCAGCAGTTTGGGCTGCCTGTGCTGGAGGCCAGCCCTGACTATGTGCAGGTGTTTGGGTGGTGAGGCAGAGCTGGGGAAAACCTGCTTTGAAGCTTCTCCTGTTTGCCTGGGACTGTGCTGGAGCTCAGGCCCTTGCCGCTTGCCTAGTCCCACTGACTTGACCTCAAACCTGCCTCAGCTGTGGTTGACCCTGGTTGCTCTCACC